CTCTTTGCCTTTTCGTGTCTTTTTTCTGCTGCGGGGCTCATCTCCTCTCCCCTCCGTGCCCCGGCACCCAGGTGTTTCATGGAGGACGGCGAGGGAGCTGCCGAGCTGCTGGGCGCCTTGTGCCGCTGCCGGGAGCTGGAGGACGCTGGGGGGGCGAGCTTGAGCTTGGGGGGTCTGGAAGTGCAGGAAAATGCACGGAGTGCTTCACGGAAGGCTTCATGGGAGAGTCTTTGCAGGGGCTCCGGGGCCCTGGCTTCCTGCTCTCAGGACGTCGGCTTGTGCTATTGCGAGAAGATCCCGGAGTCGGCTTGGGCGGCTCTTGGGGAGGGCATGTGGCCGGTTTTGAGGACCTCGCGCGGCATCCCTGAAAAACATCTGAGCCGAGTGCGGGGAGGTCACCTGCCGAGCGCAGGACCGTCATCCTCCGCTTCTGTTGCTGTTTGGTTGAGCGAGGAAGTGCTCCGTGCGGCTTTCTCGAGAAACATTCCTTGCCGATACCGTGGCTTAGCCTGTTGAGTTCCAGCGCTCAGGCACCGAGCCTCCAAGCACAGCAAACAGCTAAGACAGCTAAGCTTTCAAGGCGCTCTTGACAATTCTGCAGATCGGAGAGCGAAGGCCTGGCCAGCCCTGTCAGACATAGGGACCCCCTATCTATAGGAAAATGGGGGGGGGGGGGTCACCCTAGGAATTTCCAATTTCCTACTTTTTTCCTATTGTTTTTGGGTGGGGGGGAGGATGAAATAGGAATAGGAAAAATCACATCGTATTCATATTTGTTAAAGTCATTCCTTTGCTTCTGTTTGAAAGAGAGAAGAGAGAAGAGAGAAGAGAGAGAGAGAGAGAGAGCGAGAGAGAGAGAGAGAGACAGATATAGAGAGAGAGATAGAGAGAGAGAGAGAGAGAGAGAGAGCGGGACAGGGAGGGAGAGAGAGAGAGAGAGAGTGAAGGGGAGAGCGAAGGCCTGGCCAGCCCTGTCAGACCTCTGCAAGGAAATCCCATGATAGCGGATGCTCTGCTCTTCTCTCTTGTAGCTCTACACCTTCCAGCAGCCGTGCTAAACGAGATCTTGAGAGACAGGCTTCAAGACAACGCCCTCCTCTGTGCCAGCTTTCTGCAGTGCCACTTTGCCATGAGAGCAAAGCGTTGTTCTACTTTGACTTTGCCAGAGCAGGAAACGAAGAGGTGGTCGCTCGCAACCAGTTGTCCATCTACCCGAAGATGGCGACAACGGTCCTCATCCCAAACGCAGACGCAGAGCTGCAGGGCGACTTCGAGCTCTTCGAGGCTTTGGCCCAGAGCCGCGAGCTCGAGGACACCGGCACAGCGCCCCCCGAAAATCTCCGAAAAGGTATCCCGGCACCCCTCCAAACACCGCGAAGCGCCAGGAGCTCAACATGAGCGGTTGCCGAAAAGTCCCAACGGCGGCCTGGCGGCTGCTTGCAAAGGCCGAGTGGCCCGCGCTCAAGAAGGCCAACTTCTACTGGCGCCTCGGAAACAGGGCCAAGCTCGCAGGTGCTCTTTGCCTTTTCGTTTCTTTTTCTGCTACGGGCCTCATCTCCTCTCCCCTCCGCGTACGGGGCCCAGGTGTTTCTCTTCCATTTTCTCTTCCAACGGCGACGGTGCGGAAGGGCTGTTTGCAGCCTTGTGCCGCTGCCGGGAGTTCGAGGACTGTTCAGAAAACGCATGAAGTCCCCGAAGCGTAAACTGTAGCAAGCCGGAACGTTTTTTTATTTTTTGGCAATGCTCAAGTGTGGCTCCGGCTACGGGCTGTGACGGGCCTTGTAGTATACCTCTGCTTCTGGCCTCGTAATTTTCGTGCAACGAGTGATCTTCCAGAGTATAGTGTCAGTGCACACGCTGGCATGGCATTCTATGGTCTGGTGCGGTATGGTCTGGTCTGGTACGGTATCGTGATAGTGATTTTCATAGTGATGGTTTGGTTCATGTTGTTGCACAGTGCAGGGCTAGTCTCAGAAGGATGATACGATAAAGCGATAAGATGGGCTGCATAATAAGCATAGTGGTCGTATGGTAGAGTGTTGTGTGCTATATAGTGTAGTGTTAGCGTAGATGGCTTCACTACTTGGCAGAGGCGTTCCTTCAGGAACTCATCGCGCCTGTCCGAGCCCTCCTAGGAAAAGTTCAGCTCGCCCAGCAGTGGCATCTCTGCTTGTTGGGCTGTCTTTGCCCTGAAGCTGACGAATCCCTGGAAATCTTGAGGGGCCAAAGACCGCTGTTGGATCCTTTGCTAAGCTCTGGAGGCCCAGAGGATAGGATGGATAGGATCCTTGTGATGCGGCCTAACAGGAAGGGGCCAGGGACTCGAAGCATGATGGGTGCAAACATGAGGGCTTGCAGCTGTGATCCTGAGCTCCACTGCCAGACCAACCTTCGACAAGAGTTAGGTCCAAGGTTGGGTCCTCTGTTGCATACGGTGCTCCTCCGCATCACTGAATCACTGAACTTAAGGGTTTGTTTGCCGACAAAGAAGGCCCCGAAAGCCGCAAAGCGGCCTCCTGAGCTTCCCCAGCCCGAAAGCCTCC